CGACTTGCGCTGGACGCTGGACGTTTGGAGCACTTGCGGGGGGAGGCACTGCGGTGCCTTAGCTCGTGAGCAAGCAAGAGAGATCGAACACACAGTTCACAAAGAGACCATGCGAACCAGGGCGCGCTAGCGCGCGAGGGGGGGGGGGGGGGGGGGGTACCGCGCTCTCCTCCTTGACTGTGTGGAAGAAGAGACAGGGGGAGGCGACAAAACAAACAACTGTCCAAAGGATCGCACCTTGTCTTGCGTAGCCTTGGAACCGGGCCTGCCGAAAGAAATTGCTTGTGTGTCTTCAGTGCCGAAATTTCTGGATGAACTCATGCTGAGAGCTCTTGCTTAGAACGTAGAAAACGCAGTTGTCATTGGTCCAAGGCTTCTTGCAAAGATTCGCCGCCGCCGGCAGGAAGGGGAGCTGGCTCCACTTTGAAGCTTCCACCACTTAGTCTGCCTGCTCGGCGGCACATGCACACACATCACATAAATAGCTCTTTTCCAAAGTGCCTGTCGGGAGATCAGTCTCGACCTGAGTAGCTTTGCCACTTCGACTGAGCTACCAAACTTCCTGAGCAAATCGGATCTCCGACAGGCTCCCACTGCAACCCAAATTCGGGTCACCTGCGCACGCCAGGGCGCAAGTGCGTAGGTGTTACGGGTGGCTTTGAAGGTGCGCCACTGCGAAAGCAGAGCTTGGCAAAATTAATCAGAAGAAGTATTTTAGCTTCCCTGCTTATTCCGAGGGCCTTGGAGTGTCCAACCCTCGGCAGGTGCTGCTGCTGGTCGCCCTGGCCAGACGAGACGGGCGCCGCCCGAAGTGTTTCCACAGCTCTAGGGCGGACAGCTGTGTTCGTGCGCAAGGCTCCACTCCATGGTTGTGCGCCGGCAAGCTGCAGGAACGCCTGAGGCGCGCACTACAGGTCTTCGTTGTTTAGTCTGTTTCGGCAGAGCGCTTTTGACACAAGGTCATTTTCCGAACATCTTCTGTGGTTCTGACCGGCGGGCAATGACTCCAAGTCAAAAGCGCACGGGGGGGGGGGGGGGGGGGAACTGGGTGTTGTCACACACGTTAGTTACGTTAAATTCTCGCCAACAGCAGGTTTATGTGATGTGTTTGGCCTCGGAAGAGCAGCGTTTTCAACTTAGCAGGTCGGGACACATTGCCTGTGCTAGTTGGAAGAGGATCACGCGATTTCACGGGTGTAGCAAGTACCAACTGCAAAAGACTGGGATCTTCACGATGTCGCCTTTGCTGCTGGCGGTCGGTGGCTGGCTGCGTCTTGATTAAAGATGCTTGCATGCTCACAGATGCCCAGGCTGCTGCAGCGTCCTTTTGTTAAGGCTTGAATTCTTGAGTTAACTGGTGTTGTTCTTGCTGTGTCTGTCGTTTTTTAGGGAACTTGCATCATCCCGCATTGTTTAGAAGGAATAGGAAAGTTCAACGGTTCAACTGCACGTACTGGCGTTGCAGTGCGCTGAGGGCAGCAGGCGTGCTGGCTCGCGAATGCCCGGACTGTGTCAGCAGGACGTCCTTGTGTTGATGAAGCATCCTGGGGCATCCTGGGGCCCTCTCCTACAATGTAATTAGGGTACTGCGAACGCAAAAGGCGCTGCCAGAGGAAAGCAAAGTTGAGCAAAAGCTGCATCACGGAACCTGCTCGGGTGCGACAGCGCTCCAGGCAGAAACCGAGTCAGCTCGCGGGAGTCATGTTGAGAATGGCAGCATATGGTAGCATGCGGCATCTAGCAATGGCAGCAGTATAGCTCTGGTTTCAAGCAACGAAGGAGTTGGAGCTGTCCCAAGAGATGCAGTCCATCGAACACCAGGCTTCACACCTTTAATTTCCAGTACAAGGAGACTCGCTGTTTGGACATCATCCCATGGACGCTCAGAGGCAAGCCGGAATGTGGGTTTGCTCATGTTTTCTGTGTATAGGTAGTGAGATGACGACAAGGTTAAACTTGCGGCAGAATCTAAATCGTACGCCCACTGTTCACGAACCCACATTGTTTCTTTGCCAGCTGACCCCACCGTTGGTGGCCCCAAGTCAGGAATGGCAGCTCGATGCAGGTCGACATGAACCTATGGAGCCTTGCCTTACAAGAGTTCGCGATATGTGGGTGGGGCCACGCATGTAGGCCCAGTTCGGTGGGGCCACGACAAACGCCCAGACTGAGCTTTAAGGCAAGCTAAGTTTACGCAGATTGCCATGACACAGCAGTTCCTTCGTTATCGCGCCTTTGAAGCGAAAGGTCAATCTTGCACAAGCAGTCTAGGACAAGCAGATTGAAAAGGCACACTGTTCCGTGACTGTTGGCCCAGTCTTCATAAGCAGCAATCGTACATGATGTTCCTGGAGCATGGTGCGCATTGTTCCGTTTGGCATTGCGTGCTGATGTATGAGAAACCCAGAACGAATTCAACGCGCCCAACTACGGATGGGTTTGGCACTGCCACATCATAGAGAGCGAGACGATACTGGGTGCAAGGTATTTGGTTCTTGAGGGAATTACACACATGGCATCTCCTAGAAAGCAGTTCTCTGGCACTTCCCGCAACACTTCAGGATACAACGGTCAGTCTTTGCCGCAGTGTTTACGGTAACCACTGAGTGTCAGGAAGTTCTTCTGCCGTCCTTGCAATGTATGCATCGTACTTGCCTCGTTGAACATGAAGTTTGCATCCCCAGCACTGCTTCTTCAAATGTCGAGTCATCCTCTACACTTGCAGAGTTTGCGCGCCATTCCTGTGAAGCCCCGTCCTACTGGTAGTGGCGGATGCTGTTGTGGTGGGGCAGCTTCTCCCTGAACTGAACAGCACCATCGATGTTTGCACTTTAATTTCAGCTGCGAAACCTCGATGCGGACGTGCGACTGTAAGTTTACAGTCCTGACCTGGTCGGGCGCGAGTGCTTAAAAAAAGTTTACAGGCGACCTCGCTGTTCCGCACTGAAATAACACTGGCTGCAAGACGAGTTGGAGCAGCGAAAGCGACGATGTAGTTTGCCGCATCGTTTGTTCTTCGCAACACGATGTTGCCACTGTGTGGATCGGGATGCCCTGCTCTAGCGTCTTCCAGCCACTGCAAGTGCCTGCTGATCTAATGTACGTTAACAAAAAGGACACCAGGCGAATGGGAATGTCTGGACAGGTCTTGGTGCTTACACTCGGTGGTTGTGACGGACAGGCTCAACGTACTGCACAAACACATGATAACTCTGCGGGTCTTGCGCTTCAAGACTCTGCTGCGCAGGAAGCTGCTTCCTGCATCCTCTGAGCACTGAGCGCCGGAGCCCAGGTGCGCCATGCCATCAACGAAGCGGTGCCGTGATTTCATGTGTCGGAGCAGGTAGCTTGGCTCGTTTGCGCATCGCACTACAGCGGCATGTGCTTCATTCGGGCCCGTTGGGCGCCTTGTAACGTCTCGAAGCAAGGATTAGCTGCTACAACATGAACCGGCATCCTGGCAAGCACATCTTGTATGCAGTGTAGGAGAAGCTGCACAGCGGGAGAAACTTGTCGCAGGTTCACAGCCCGTGGCATGATTTCCTCGCTTGGATTCTGTCCTGTGCCTGCAGAGCACTCGGACCTTATGTCCCAGAAACTTAGCTGCAGTGGGGGTTGAGACTGGGTATGACAGGGTAATTGTTGACTCGCGAAAATTGTCGTGAGCAGCCACCCAGGAACTGCGACTGGGTTTGCAAGCGTGGCGAACCGACCATCCGCTGCAAGTACGACTTTGACCGTTCTGGCAGATTTGGGATACAGTGGCCCGGCTGTGTAGTCTGCAATACGTGCTTGGGTCAGACGGCCTTCTTGCAGGGTTACGCTTGAAGCAACTCACCAGCAAGATGATGTCCCTCCTGCCTCACCTGGCCCCCACTGAAGCTATGAGTGCGGATTAACAGAACCCTAGTGTGGTGCTTGCGGTGGCTTCAGCAAGGCTGCGCGTTTACAGCGGTGTGGATGGTTGTGGCAGTTGCTGCTGCTACTGGTGCTGCTGCCGCTGCTGCTGCCTACCACCACCACCACGACGACTACTACTACTAACCTTGACTAGTTGTATATTCTGGGAGCAGGTCCAGGAAATATTTCTGTCTAAGTCAAAATTCTGTTTTAAATCTGTTGTCACATGTGTCAAAAATCTGTCACCTGCCGCTGGTTGGGTTTGGCATCTGCGAAAAATCTGTGACAAGTCTGTGAATAAGCTATGAGCAATTTGTGTCAAATCTGTCTCATGGCTCGGGGCCAGGGGCAGGGTCCCGGCATGGGCCTGGGGACTTGGCCCGGGTTCCTGTCCCTGACCCGCGGCCAGGACCCTGGCCCGGGCTTCCCGTAGAGCTCCAAAAATCTGTCCAGGACTCACAAAATCTGCTTACGTTCAGGCCCCCGGCACCTGGTTCTGGCGCAGGCTTTCCTGACCCGGGCCCTGGCCCAAGGCTCCCGCATAATGCCAATCCTCTACTTGCATTTTGAGTCCATCTTGGCGTGTATGTCTGACTTTGCCAAGTTTTGGGATAGGCCTCATAAGCTCGACATGTCCCCTCAAGCCGTATATCCTACTCCTGCAAGACTTTTCATGCTATCAGGCCACCCAACATCGGAGAGCACAACGTATCCTCTGCTTTGGCAAGCGGTGATTGATTGTTTGATAGCTTTCATGCACTGACTCAAGTCAATTACTGTTCTTGGCAAAGTGCGCAGTATTCGATGTCAGTTCTTTCTACGAGCTGGGGTGTAAGATTTGACGTTGGAATTGGAAGTACGACCGCGTGGACAAGCAACAAGAGAAAATGAAATCTAAGTGACACGGAAAATTTCTAATTCGAACATAATCGCAAGTGCAGCAAGCTCTGCACTATATCGAACAATGCCCATCGAACGTTCAGAACAGTGCTCGTGCTCAAACAAACGAGAAACAAACAAATCCGCTCAAAATAAAATTATTCCGAAACGCAGGCCCTACAGCCTCTTCTGATACTAATACACATACAAGTACTACTAGTAATGTTACTACCACTACCACTATTTCTGCTACCATACTACTACAGTGCTACTACTATGCTACTACTACTGCTCCTTCTACTGCTGCTACTACTACTACTACTTCTTCTTCTGCTACTACTCCTACTACTACTACTACTACTACTACTACTACTACTATTACTACTACTACTACTACTACTACTACTACTACTATTACTACTACTACTACGACCTACTACTAGTACTACTAGTACTACTACTACTACTACTACTACTACTACTACCTGCCTACCTGCCTGCCTGCCTGCCTGCCTGCCTGCCTACCTACCTACCTACCTACCTACCTACCTACCTACCCACCCACCTACCTACCTACCTACCTACCTACCGACCTCTACCTCTTCCTACCTTCCTGCCTACCTACCTACCTACCTACCTACCTACCTACCTACCTACTACCTACTACTACCTATTACTACTGTACATACTACTACTACTACTACTACTACTACTACTACTACCACGACTACTATTACTACTACTACTACTACTACTACTACTACTACTACACTACTACTGTTACTACTCCTACTACTACGACGACGACGATGACTACGACTACGACTACTACGACGACGACGACTACTACTGCTACTCCTGCTGCTGCTGCTACTACTACTACTACTACTACGACTACGAGTAGGGGTAGAAGCCTGAGGAGGAGTCGCAGTAGTAGCAGTAGTGGTAGGAGTAGTGGGAGTAGCAGCAGCAATAGTAGGAGTAATAGTAGTAGTAGCAGCAGCAGTGGTAGCACAACAACAACAACAACTACTACTACTACTACTACTACTACTGCCGCTGCTGCTGCTGCTACTACGACGACGACAAGGAGGAGGAGGACGACGACTACTACTACTACTACTACTACTACTGCCGCTGCTGCTGCTGCTGCTACTACGACGACGACAAGATTGAGGAGGACGACGACGACTACTACTACTACTACTACTGCTGCTGCTATGCAACTATGTCTCTGAAAACTGCTCTTGGTCGTATTGCATCGCAACTGCGCCACGAGCCTTTCGTGCTGAGGCGATCGACAGCACTCGATCTGCCTCGCTGATGGTCCGTGGCAGCCCGTGGCGCGCAGACTCCATGGAGGCCATGCTCAGAAGCCACCAGAAACTCGCAGCATTTGTTGTGTGCCATCTCACTACGACTCACTGCAAATGCTGCCGCCGCAGGGCTTTCCTGCGTCTACCACAGCTCTTCGGCTGAAATATTCAGCAGATGAGTGCCGATGGCACTGCATGGCTTGAACAGCAGAGTCTGGTGCGCGTCGGGAATGGTCCAGAAGTTTGTACTCAACTTGTGCTGTTGCATGGTAGTCCGGTTTCAAATGCCGGTCTTCGACAAGACAGGTAGCCTTGCCTGGAGGATCATGAGACTTAGTAAGTCTAGTTATAAGTCTCTTAATTGGGGTTATAAGTATAGTTACCTCGGTTATAGCCCTACTTACTAAGTCCCATGATCCTTTAAGCAAACCCTAAACCCTAAACCCTAAACCCTAAACCCTTGAAGCCCATGATCCTTTAAGTAGCCTTGCTACTTTCCGTGGCAGCTGAAGGCTTTAGATGGCACCCGGCGCTGGACTTTGGAGGCCGCTGAGTAGAAGGGCACAGGCTGCCTCCAAGAGGTTTTGAGTTTTTTTAGGGTTTAGGGTTTAGGGTTTAGGGTTAAGGGTTTAGGGTTTAGGGTTTAGGGTTCCGGAATCAAAGAACATGTCTTGCAGAGAGGACTGTTGCCACGCCTGAAAGCTCTTGAACTGGCCCAGGTGAGTCGGAGCACAACTTACACGGTCTTGGAGTGACAGGCAAGCGCTCCCAGAGGGACCGTGCGGAAGTGGCACCATTCGGACGACAGCCTTCGGGTTTGTGGGTACTTGGAGGATCATGGGACTTGGTAAGTAAGGTTATAAGTCCCTTAATTGGGGTTATAAGTATAGTTTCCCTATTTATAACCCTACTTACTAAGTCCCATGATCCTTTAAGTAGGCAGGGCCCTCCAGGTAATCTCCACAGTCACCCAGCGCCAGTGCTGCAAGAGTCGTAAGTCGTAAGTCTTCGAATGCCAAAGGAGCATCGACACCACACCCAGAAGCGGAAGCCCTGCATCGCCCCATTGGTTCTTTCCCGTACTTACGAGGGTTGCAGTTGCTAAAGCCATTCTTCTTGTGCAGGCAGAGATGCTTCAAGGATCGACATGCAGTTGTCCGACCAAGAATCGAACTCGCTGCAAAGATCAGCAGGCTTTAGTGCAAGCGAGTAAACAATCAAGTCTTTGAAGAGCAGTAGCCGTAATCGTCGTCGTTGCCGCAGCAGCAGCAGCGACAGCAGCAGTGATAGCGGAAGGCACTAGGAAAATCGCCGCGACCGTTGAAACAAAAGCCATGACAATCGTTGTGCCATTGTTAGCAATAGACTCACCGACATGATCGCTGCAGTAGTGTAGCACATACCGCAGCAGTTGCTGCAGCAGCAGCAGCAGCAGAAGGGGTAGCAGCAGCAGCAGTACGAGTAGCAGTAGCAGTAGGAGAAAGAGCAGGAGTAGGAGTAGAAGTCTGAGTTGTCGTAGTAGTAGTAGTAGTAGTTGTCGTAGTAGTCGTCGTCGTAGTAGTAGTAGTAGTAGTAGTAGCAGTAGCAGTAGTAGTAGTAGTAGTAGTAGTAGTAGTAGTAGTTGTTGTCGTAGTAGTCGTAGTCGTCGTCGTCGTCGTCGTCGTCGTAGTAGTAGTAGTAGTAGTAGTAGTAGTAGTTGTTGTTGTCGTAGTAGTCGTCGTCGTCGTAGTAGTAGTAGTAGTAGTAGTGTTAGTAGTTTTTGTTGTTGTAGAAGAAGTAGCAGGAGTAGCAGGTCGTAGGAGTCGTAGGAGTAGTAATTGGAGTGGGAGTGAGTAGGAGTAGGAGTAGGAGTAGGAGAGGTAGCAGGAGTAGCAGGAGCAGCCAGTAGCCAGCAGCCAGCACTAGCGCCGCAACACTGGTATAGCTAGCAAGAATGTCAAAAGCCAATAGTTGATATAAATCAAATGGGTGACGTAGGAGTATCATACTCTGGTCATTGCACAGCGAGCATAGAAACTAGCCGCTTGACTCATCCTAAACAATAACCCTAAACCTAAGCCTAAACCCTAAGCCCTAAACCCTAAACCCTAAACTCATCTTCTTCGCAGCGAGTCGAGTTCGCCTCCAACCGTGATGCACTCGAAGGGCCGGCCTGGATTCGGGCCGAATTTGCGGATGAACTGGAGCTCAACATAAGAGCAGCGTGGGCTTTTGGGCTTTAGGGGTTTAGGGTTTAGGGTTTAGGGTGCCGAACAGAATATCCAGGAAGACCCGCATTTTCCAGACAGACGAGTTTACAGAGCCTTCGCACTGTCAGGAAAAACCATGACTCGTCAAGAGGAAATCCGAGTACTTCAAAAGCCAAAGCAGCGTGAGCAACGAGAAAGAAGCGGTGATTGGGCAATTGCTCCGTGCTCTCAGTTGGATTGACCCTTGTCTTTAGATTCCTGTGTATGCATGTATGCATGTATGTATGCAGGCAGGTCCTCCAATCTCGACATAGCGAGTGTCACTGTGCTACATCCACTTTGCTACATCATCTTGCGGTCTGTGCAGTATGAGACATGTATCTGCACATGGATGGTACTGCATGCGGAATAATAAGCGGCCCCCTTTGAGGGCTCCCCCATTATGGAACCCTATAATACCCTTTAAGGGCCCCACCCTAAACCCTAAACCCTAAACCCTAAACCCTAAACCCTAAAGCCTAAGCTTATCTACTTGGCTGCAGAGCCTGCTGCCCTTTGAAGCGAAGGCTCTGAGGGCGGTGTTTGACCGCTCCAGCGAGCCCCGAACGGCCCCCCAAAAAGGCAGCCCCTGGCGTATTTTCTGGGTCGGGAACCTGGCAGATTCGTGAAGAAAGGCTGCTTTCTGCGAAGTTCCTGGCCCCATTTCCGTTGGGGTTAGAGCCTTACTGCCTGACGGCCTCTCGCTTGCACATGCAGCCGGTAACACGTCGCCTTGTTGACGACATTATAGGAAGGCGTGACGCTTCCGAAGCACCAGTCAACAACACCTTCGGTTGTCATTTTTTTTGCATGCTTCTTCAGACTTCGGACGTGTCTTAACTTCTCTAAGTAAGGATTACGCATGAAATGCGTTGTTGCGGTTCAAGACTACTAGGACTTCTCTTGAGACTGCGCCTCCGCGAAGAGGAATCCTGCCTGCGCCGAGTTGACATAGCGACATGTTCCGGCTGTGCTCTCACCTGTCTCTCGCTGTCATGCCTCGTCACCGTCAACCTGCGAGCCTTTCTGTCCGAATTGAAAGCAGTGGCAGTTGTTTAAATTACAGGGGCCTTAATATTATGATTTAAGGTCCATTCCTTAATTATGGCTTTTTGGGCTCTCTGGGTAGTTGTTGCAACCTGGAACCCTAAACCCTAAACCCTAAACCCTAATGGACGCTTTGGAAAGGTAAAGGAGATACAACGAGGTCAGGCGGGCATGCACCGCGGCATGACGAGTCGAAGAGGCAGCAGAAGATCAGGTGCCAAAGACTGCCACCTGGGAGACAGGATGAGTTTTCGCTTCAATGACCATCAAAAAAGGACGGTCTAGGGTTTAGGGTTTAGGGTTTTGGGTTTAGGGTTTAGGGTTTATGGTTTAGGGCTGACCCAGAGAGCCCAATACCCCTTAAGTAAGGAATATACCTTAAATTACTGGGGCCTTAATATTAAATGTTTTAAGGTAGATTCCGTAGTCAAGGGGTATTGGGCTCTCTGGGGAATTGTGTGGGATTGCCTCGGGCTTGTCAGTCTCGGTCTCAGCTCGAGTGCTGGCAGGGTATGTATACCCAGAGAGCCCAATACCCCTTACTTAAGGAATATACCTTAAGTTATGCGGGCCTTAATATTATGATTTAAGGTATATTCCTTAAGGGGTATTGGGCTCTCT